TTAAATAGAAAGGCTCAACAAACGCCTACACTTAGTCAATTTCAAGAACTAAATAACATAGCTTTGCCTTGTACCGACCTTGATTTTGATAAACTTAAACAAGAAATTAAAAGACTTAAATTAAAAGATTTTGATCCCCATTTTCAAAAGCAAAAAAATACCTTTGGACAATTAACATCTAGCGCTATAAACAAAGCAGGTGACGGTTTAAGTGCCATTTTAGATCTCTTCGTGCAGGCCAATAAACAAATTATTGAATCTAATAATGGGAACAATAATTCTTTTGCTCAAGGGCAGCTACAGGGACAACTGACTACTTGCAAAACTCTCTTGCAAACTAAATTTACCTCAGAAGAACTACAAAGTCTGCAAGATAAACAAAAAGAGCTTATGGAATTAGAGAAACAATCTGCTGTTTTACGCTAATAAGGAGATATAAATAAAAATTATATATCAGGTCTATGCTTCAAGTCATATGGCAACTTTAATGGGCTAAATGAGATGTTTGAAATTTTTATAACTCTCAAAATTTGTCGCTTATGTTTGTATTAGGATAATATAGGTATTGCAATAACGAAAACATCAAAGTTTATCGATTATGATTACATAAAGACGAACAATTAAAATTTTCGTATCTTTTCTGGTTGTGGTGGTATATTTGTGGTCATGGATCAGACCAGTGTAATAGATACAAAATGGGCTATTGAGTTTGATTCTAGTGCATAGAACTTATTTTCTTATCATTATTTATTATCGTTATATATGTATTTTTTATCATTATTAGAGTTTTGCTTTCTCATTAGGCAGGGTCGTATATTATTAAGTCTTCGCTTTCTTTATATTACTATTAAAAAGTATCATACGTATGCTATTTTGTTAAAAAATATTTAACAAGGTCACGACATTATTAAATTTTCGCTTTCTTTAAAACTTTTGGAAAGGTTATACGTTATTAGGATTTTGCGTAGGTTTAGTTTTTTGGATGAGGTCTTGATATTTTTAGGTCTTTCATCGGTTAAATTGTTTGATATTTTGCAAGAAAATTGGGTTTAAATCACAAACCGACGATTCTTTTATTTACACTGTTATGCAATGTGAATTTAATTTTTCATATCAATATAATAAAACTTAGGTGTCGCACTGGTTATTACGTCTGATCACGACACTTTATCCTGATTCTTTAATTTTGGGGAAATAATAAGCTCCGTGAGAAAATATTTTTTAGTTAATGATAGCTTCTCTGCCAACCGCTCCATGCATTTTTTGTGCAGCAAATGCAGACTTATTGTTCTGTAAAACTTTTTACAAGAATGTGTTTGTTTGTTCAATGGTCAAATTATTATTATGTTTTATATATCGGTAGGCTAATCAAAAACTCTGCATGTTTATAAAGAGTTATTAAAAACATGTGATGCTGAAATTATTTTATGCCCAATGTAGTTTACTACCTAAAATTATGTCATTCTTTAATATTTAATTCTTTTAATTCGCAATGAATATAATTTTATAAAAAGGAAGCCCGAATTAATAGCTTGATAAAAAGTTGTAGTATAATTAATGAATTTGCTTTTATAAATCGTTTTAGAATATGTTTGTATGCTTGAGCTTTTGTTAGTTTTTAATATCTTATTCATTTAGTTAATTTGGATAAAATTTTTTCGTCTCTTGCCATATTATATAGTAAGTATTTCGCAGATTTCTATTGTTGATGGGCGGTTTTCTGGATTTTTATCCCAAGATCCTTTCATCAAATTTATATAACATTATGGACTATATTCAAGAAAAAGGTTGTTGTAAACTATTTCATGATTTTATTTAAAGTTGTGGTTTGAATTCTTTCTTTAAAATACTGATCTTTCATGTAAAACCTCCCAAATAATTATTCAACCCGAATTAATACCTGATGCTGTTGAATATTGCTCCATCTAAAGCTTCTGGAACTATTTGTTGATATTGAAAGCCCCAAATCTGCAATATAAGTATTACTTAAATCTAGTAAAATATTTACTACTATGTAAATCCCGGTAAATAAGCTAATTATTTGAAAATCAGTAGCAATGCAATATAGTTAATTTGTCTTTGTACTACAGAATTAAGATTTCAGCACAAAGAACCCATTTCTGCATACTTTAAAACAAGGATATAGTTTTCAGAAGTAACATCTTCTGATATTCCATAGCACTTTAAAAATGAAAGATCTTAAAACTAATATCACAATAGGATTTTAACTTCAATATTTAAAAAAATGATTAAAATCTTAAAGCATAAATATATAGGGGTGAGTCAATAGAAATAAAGCAAATTTTTTATAATAAAATTTTTTTATAACTTTAAACAAGAATAACATAACAAAAACTTGACCAAATTTAATAAAAAATTTTTTAAATAATTTTTACAAACTTGTAGAATTAATTTAAAAAAATTTTTATTAAATTTGATCAAGGTTATTCTTGTTTAAAATTTTAAAAAAACTTACTAAAAAAAATTTGCTTGGTTTCTATTGACTCAACCCCATATATATTCATGAATAAAAATAAGAAGCACCTCTTTTATTTTAAGATTTTGATCTATAAAATAATTTAGGTGTAACTTCTCTCTATATATTTTGACCATACTGCAGAATATACTGTTGAAAGCCCACCTTGCCCTATTATTTCAATATTTCACCATTTTTAAATTCTTTATAAGAAATCCATAATAATAGATATTTTCTTTCAACTAATGGTTTTTCTTAAGCATTATTTTTATACATCTGTTCGTTTGTATCTAAGAATTAAATAAAAAATAATTGGTAATATTAAATTATCTCATAAAAAACAGAATAAATAATTATGTAAATATTCAAATTACCTAATGTCATATGCTTTTCCCAAAAAAGCATAATATATAATATAATATAAAAAGCGATAAATCATTTACAATTGATACCAATTATCTGTCTTCCATAAGTCCCCGAGACACCAATTCCATTTCTGTAACAATAACCTATTTGAGACATTCCGTTAAATTCCCCATCTTGGCAGATTGTTGGCAATAAAGAAATGCTTTATGTTTATCATTTTTTTATCCCAAATAACAGTGCCCAACTTGAAGTATTTTATCACCATCTCTCATTTTAGATAATTTTTGATAATGAATAAACTCTTTAAGTTCGTTTTTTTAACCTTTACATCAGCAAGTACATTTTTTATAAAATCTACAACTTTATAATAAAAATTATATATATTAATTTTTATTTATTGTTTAATATAAAATTTATATAAAATTTATTAAACTTATATAAATATAATTTATAAAAGAAGATTATATAAATATATTATAATTAATTAACTTTATATGCCATAATAAATTTTACATAAATTTTATATATAAATAAATTTTATTTATTACAGTTATATAACTTTATATATCGTAAATTTTATATATTAATAATTTTACATATATTATTATATAACCTTCGTATATTATAAAACTTAAATAATTTTTAGGAAAGAATTAGCCAATATCTCAAAATTTTACTAAGGTAACCTCTTGTTGTGTTGCTAATAAAAAATATCCTCCCATAATTTTACCCTAACCCAATCTTAATCCCAACTTTAATTATACCTTTATTTTTATCCTAATAATTTATTTATTTGGCTATTAAACATAATATTATATTTGTTAATTAAATAAATATTAAGTCTATATTGGGTTTATAGACCTATTTACATAACTTTACATAAAAACAACTTTATGATGTATTTCATTTTGATAGCAACGCACAAGCTTATTCATTATATCAGAATTTCCCAATATCCATTTCGATTATTAATAAATTAACACTGACAAATAATAATAATAGTAATAATAATAAAAGCACAAGTGAAGTTCAAATATTAGAATAATCAATATTTTAAATAAAATTGAAAGTGATAATGAAAATGACCTAATATTCGAAGAATTAAAAAAAATTGAAAAGCATGAGCAACTTATTCAGCATACTCATGAAGAATATAAAGTAGGTAAAGAAGCAATGTTAGTGTATTTTTATAAATTATTAAATTAACTATTTTTTTTTCACTAACTTTTAGGAATTATTCGACATGTAAAAGTATTACTAAATGGATCTATACTTAATATATGACATTAAAAAAGCACAAAACAATGGGCTAGAGAACATACATGGAAAGATTCAAAACCTTATACAATGCGTTTGCAATAAATGATTTTTATATAAGTTATAAGTAGAAATGATTATGATAGTTAATATTGTAACTTTTTAAATTTGAAAAATTATTGTGAGCATATTAAAAATTTCAATGTCTAAATTGCAAACTAGCAAAAAAAAAAAGAAAAAAAAGAACTCTGCATTGTGTTATGTAAAATTTTACGACAATAAAAACACATATATATGTGCTAAAATAAACTTTTTAATTTGATAAAATTTTCAATATATTAAACCGTATTTAGACAAATCTAAAATCTAAGATACGCATATAAAATAATAAAGCAATAAGAATTTCAAAAATAGTGCAATTTCATTTTGGCAAAACATCAAAATGTTATTTTCGAATTTGAATATTATAATTATCTTAATATAAAAAATAAAAAAGCATATTTATGTTGTAAGCGAGAACAGAATATATGTTGATTTGGAATTTTTAAGGTTGAGGTTGGAATGTTTAGTATAATTATTCCGTTCTAATCTAAATGGATTCCGAACCTATAATAATTTAATTCCCATTTACAACATATATACAAGAATCAAAACAAATTATATATTAATTTCAGTATTAAAATAAAGTTCACATGCAATAAATCGGTTTATAGCAGTATGCGAAAAGTTTTGAGGGTCGCTTTACGAGTTAAATTTCAATGTCTAATCATTTCAATGGTTAAAATGATTCGTTTGCATTCAATCATCATCATCAAATATTATCCAAACTAGCAAATTTGTCTGGCTATCATTTTTGCTAAGTAACGTTATGTAAGCTGGACTCATAGATCCACATAAAATAAAAAATTACGCATCAGCAGGGAGTTTAAGATTTATCTATTCGCTATCAACCATCTCGGATAACCTTACGGCGATCTCTTGCGTGGGGATCGGTTTGCTCGTGTACATGTTATCCGGGTATTTTTGCGTGACAATCGGTAATCCTATAATTATCTCATCAGCTTCCAAAAACTGCGTTTTGATTTCATCTTTAACTGAACTATTCATAATTATATTCCATTCGTCAAGCTTATTTTTTATATCTGTAGTGGTAGGGCGTTTTCGTTGATTAGAATCCATGCACTGCATTGCTAATTCGACATAACAATTTGGAGTTCCAGGTGCAAACTCAGGTCGCAATCCATCAATAATTTTTATAGCAAGATCAACATTAAATGATTTATCGGAAAATGGTCTCCATCCGCTTGACACTTCAGTCATTATAATT